AAGGGCCAAGGCTCCCCGATGCCTGGGCTGGCTTCAAGGGAAGCTCAAACAGAGCATGTTAAGGTTTGGGGTCCAAATTGAAAGCCCATCTGGGTAGGTCAGCACAGCCAGGCCTGGGAAGCACACAGGGTGTGCGCGGTGGGACTCCAGAGGGTTCGTGCAGCCCGGCCAGCGCCAGGGCAGCCTCAGGAGCAGGCTGTTTGCTGAGAAGCAGCTGCTTGACTGCTGGAGGAAAAGCCTGTGTGAGAGCAACCCACACTTGAAGTACGCCCCAGTCCCAATCTCTTGCCATCAGGGTCTGACTGGGAAAAGATGCATCCCTAGAACGGATGTTTTCTGGATGATCCCTCTCCGGTCTGCAGGACTGACAGAAGCCAAAGGCAGAAGTGAGGCCAGGGGGTGAACAGGGAGCTGTGGTTGGGGCATTTCTGGATCCATCCTGGTCCCCGCATCCTGTGCAGGGCAAGAGGAGAAGCAAGAATGACCCTAAGGCTGCTCTGAGTAGGGGACTGTCGAGGCATCAGGGCTGGGCAGACCTCGGGGCTGGGGCAGGGTCTCAGTCCCTGCCTCCCATCACACGGTGCAATCTGTGCTTTCTGCTTTCCCACAGGCAGCCCTGGAGCCTGGATGCTGTCGGGAGGCACCATGAGTGAGTGCAGGGAGAGCAAGAGCCCAGGCCCCCGGCTGGAGTGAGGCCTTTCCTGGGGAGACGGTGGATGCTGTGCTGGAGCCCGTGGCAGCCGTGGGCCTTCCCTGCACAGCCTGAAGTGAAGCTGAAGGAGCAGGACCCAGGAGATCTCCAGGCAGGAGCTGAGGGGTAGAGCAAATCCCTTTTGTGGACCAGGGGTGAGGAGGGTTTCCCCAAGGTGGTGAGCACCTTGGCCAGTAAAGCTGCAGTTGCAGGAGGAGCCGGTCCAACGCCAGGAGATCCAGGGGCAGGAGGTGATGCAGGCCATGCGGCCCCCGCCTGAGACCAAGATTCCCTTAGAGACCCCACAGCTGGGGTACGACCTCCCCACCCCAGAGACCTGGCGCCAGCGTTTCCGGGGCTTCTGCTACATGGAAACCATGGGGCCGCAGGAGGTTTGCAGCCGCCTGTGGGAGTTCGCCCTGCGCTGGCTGGACCCGCAGCGCCGCAGCAAGGAGCAGATGCTGGAGCTGGTGGTGCTGGAGCAGTTGCTGGCCATCCTGCCCCGGGAGATGCAGAGCTGGCAGTGGGGGCATGGTGTGGAGACCTGCGCTGAGGCCGTGACCCTGGCTGAGGGGTTTAAGCTGGGGCAGGAGGAGGAGGAGAAGCTGCAGGTGAGTGTTTCACCTTGATCATGGATGCTGCAGTCCCCATCCCCATGTGCTTGGGGGATGTTCATTCCCAGCCCCGTCTCTCCCATATCCTGGCTTCCCAGTGATATATTTATCTCATCTCCAGGTCATAGTGAGTGTAAAAGTCGAGGAGGTGTCCTCAGACAATATGCATCCCACTACGGCATCACAGGAACCTGGTGATTCCTGGCCAGTGCAGCCAAAGGCCGAATGTGTGGACAGGCCTTTGGGGGACTCAGGAGAGAGGGAAAGCCCGGGGCCCCTGGACAAGCCACTTTAGGGCTCCACAGGAGAGGGAAAGCCCGGGGCCCCTGGACAAGCCACTTCAGGTCTCCAAAGAAGATCCTCAGCCTCACCAGGACTCAGGTGAGGTACCAGATGCAAGGCCTGGGTGTGGATTTGGGTGTCTGTCCTGTGTGCAGAGGGAGAGGTTTGAATGTCTTTTTGGAAGTTCAGCACCCAGAACTGGACACAGTACTCCAGCTGAGGTGTCACCATCACGAATTAGAGAGGAAGTATCACTTCCTTAGCCCTGCTTGCGATGCATCAGCTAATGCACCCCAGTTTGCTAATAGCTCTGTTGACTACAGTATTGCACTGGTGGTTCATGTTCATCCTGTGACCAACCACATCCATGATTCCC